AACACTCCTCTCAAGCTCGAGCATATAAATCTTTTACCACCAAATTTGTTGCGAATATAGTTCATGCTAGGACATCTAAGAGAATTTGTACACATAAAACTTGTGAGAATTTTTCCAAATATGACCTTTTCTCGAATAAAGTGGTAACCCACCTCAATGTATTTAGCCCTTGTGTGGTATACTGGATTTGATGTGATATGCACTGCTGCTTGATTATCACACATAAACCGTACTAGTTTTTTTGTTTCTATGTTTTAAATGTCCGACAAAGGTAAAAGAGTCACATTTTTTTATAATGTCTTAGCTTTTTGATTAATAGTGGACAAAATCAAAATGACATATTAAACTTTCTATAAAGTTTAGAGCAGTGACGCATGGGCGCGTGAAGGGCCTAACACATCTGTTTTTTTTGCAGGGGTAAGGTTGCACATATCTTAACCCTACAGAACCCCAACGGAAAATGAACTTTACAGGGTTTAATGTTGTTGATGTTGAAGTAGGCATTTCTACCATTAAATCATTCGACTAGGAACCATTGCATGGTCTTCTAATTGAGCATTTGATCTCGCAACGACATGTTTCTTGCTTTCGAACAGGACACATTACAATTAATAAAGATGCAATACGAAGACGTGGAGCATCTATGAACTGGAGAACCGTCCGACTTAGCATCACATTATTATCTCACGGTAATGTAATGGCTTCTATCTTCATAAAGTAATCCTTATCCTAGTGATTTCTTGACAATACATAGAACTTGACCAGCAAGATCCCTATGACCACACATTTATCAAGAAATTGGCTAAACAGAATTTCAGCATAAAAAATATTTGTCCTTGCGATGGTAAATGAATTCCATTTTCTAACTATCCGTCTATGTTTCTTCCTAGTGGCTCCATCGTCCAGGAAGATGTTTGACATTTGGATCCATATGAACTAAGCAATGAAGTCAGCATAAATGACCCAAGTGTTAAGGTGAGTTATTCAAGAAACAATACTTTTCACACAATTGGAGGACCAGAGTGGTTTGGTTAAGTTAGAGAAGGCTAAGTTTCAATTAAACAACATAACACACGAATCTACTATCATCACCATGGGAAAAGAAGACAAGTTCACTAAAAAAGTATTCCTTCGGTCCCTAAACTATTTTCGCACGTTCCTTTTTCCTCTGTCCCAAAACTAAATCTCATATCCTTATAATGAAAGCATTATGTGATTCATATTGTTTCTACTTCCTCTTAATGAACGTCACCACACAGTTTAAATTTTTCTAGTCTTTGTGTCCGTGTCACAAAGGGATTTTATTCACGGATGTGGATATAACTTCGATTGAGCAAGAAACTGAAGCAACCACACAACAATGGTGAGAAGAAAGGAGCTTGCTCACTAAACTTTATAAGCCTTATTATGCTCCATTAGATGAGTTTTGGGGTCAAATAAGAGCAAATAGCAGCTTTAAGTCTCATTGCTTAGAAGTAATTCACCAGGAGTGAGTGGGTGAATCAATTAGACCTAATCTTACCCCAAAAGCCCTTTTCATTCGTTAGTTAGTTCAATTTGCTCTGACTTCACATCAATAGTTACTGCCACTCAGACATCACCCTTAATCATAGATGATCTTGATAAGCACAGCCGCACTCATACTCAAACCAAAGAAAAAAGAAAAAAGAAAGTGATGTATATTAAAAAGAGGTCAACTGATAGTCAAATTTGATAAGGTTTGGGCGGATCTTGAAGTGTGTTTAAATGCAACTGTGAAATATCAAAGTGTGTTATACTTAAGTGAGGAGATATTTTTTTTAAATGGTCCAGAATGTAAAATATAAGAAATAAGATAGATAATACATTTCATTTTGTTTTAACCACAAAATGCAGCAAGCTTTATAGGAAGAAGTTCAACATCATTTGTTGAGTTTTTGGACTCAACATATAACTCTTTACTGCAGGGACCCTTTGACATGGATCTAGAATGCTATTTGGCTCAATGAAAGTGCAAAACAGTGATTCACTTTGATCTATGCTCTTACGTCTTTCTCTGGTCAACAACTGGTGAAATGAAGCTTGCCCGATCAAAAACATGGAACTTAGACTACAGGAAAAAGAAGTGACAAACTGTCTCAAACCCTTACCCTATAACTCTAGCTTCTGAAAAGACAATGAACTTCTAATTTCACTTGTGGATCATTAGATAAAATGTTAAGGTATATATGCACAAATATATGACATGTGCTCCTCCAGGACCTAGGAAACTAAAATAAATTCAGGAATGAAATGTACAAATTGAGCATAATCAACTTCGGTTGGCAAAAGCTTTTGTGAAATATGGTCTCAAAAGTTATGAACTAAACTGCCACACTCAGCCTTAACCTTGCCAACAGCTCAACATGATTTTCAAGCAAAACTTGACAGCTTGCCCGAAATGTCATAAATGTTTCTTCTTAAAGAGAATCTACAAATCATCCTAAACTTAAACAAAGATTCCAAGTAGGAATTTGACTTCATTAGGTGGCAATTTGCAACCAACCCAAACAGTGCCATTTAAGATCTTCCAAGTATCCCTCATTAATGTATAACAAGCTAGTTCCAGGTGCACTTATCTTCTTCAGAGCTATTTATAACTACTCATTGCATCATTTGAACCTCAATGCAGAATAACAAGCTTCACTCAGTTCGCTTAGATAGCTAAATTATAAAATAAAAACTTTTAATGCAGTTACAGCATTTTTTTCATCAAGTAGCCTGGATTCCAAACTTATACAGCCGTCAGCCAAATAAAAAGTCAAGCACATTCCCATCTTTGTGCATCACCTTAGTGATGCAAATAGATTAGTGATTGAATAATCATAACTTCTAAGTCCTGACAAGTGGCCAACTCAATTTAACCATCTTCGACCACTACCAAAGTCAACAACTAAGATAGGCACAATCAGTCCTTAAGAAAGAATTGAGTCCTCCAACAGTCCAACTATCCTGAATCCATCCACAAGGATTAACTTCATCTAATGAGATTGCCTCAGTCCACAAGGTTAAATCTAAATGAACCATACATCATTAAATCAGAACTCAGTAATGATGAATTACACGCTTGAGCATCATGAGCTGTCAAGTAACCCTTTTGCATTATTGTGTCCATGGAACCTATAATTAGTTTAGCTTATCCAAAACATTGATGACCGAACATAAAATATAAGCTTTTTTCCTTGACCGCCACATTCAAAACTTCACTTCTTGCACTAGAAGATTATGTTCTTATCCTAATAAATTATTTTATTAAAAGGTAAACAATGTACTTTTACTAAGTTGCAATGTTTTGCACTTTTACTAGCAAAATTTAATGCTGAAGTAGTAAACCATTCAAAACACATACAGAATCAAGAAAGAGGTAAAGTGACAATATTCTTACCTTCAAGGAAATAACAGACTAAATCAAAATGACATGTTAAACTTCCTCAGCTTCATACATTTCTGATGTTTTCGGTAGTAAATGCAACAATTCATCAGTCTCTCTCTAAAGATTTACAGGGGTAAGGCTATGTAAATCATGACCCCCATCAAGATGTTAAAATGGCTTTTGTTGGCATAGCCATACAGAACTAGATAAGGGCAATTTGTACTGCTCACATTACAGAACAAGCGAGGATTTGCATAATATCCATCCTCATAATATAGGGGTGTTTCTCTATGCTGGTGCTTATTGGCTTATTGCTGATAAGCAATTTTTATCTTATAAGTTGCTTATAAGTTATATATTTTTTTGTGCAAGTAAAAAGACTTAAATGATAGATAAGTCATCCGGGGGTATTCATAAACGGTGGGAGATAGTTTTGTAAATAATTTCGTCAAAAGGGATAAAAAAAACTAGCTTTAAAATAAATAGGTATAACCTACTTGATTTTTTGGCTTATAAGCAGCTTATAAGCACAGAGAAACGTGTCATCTGCCGACTAATAAGTTAAAAACCGCTTACAAGTAGTTTTGTCCAACTTATAAGCACAGGAAAGCACTCACTATGTTTCCAAAAAGTAAGTGTCTTGGCCAAAGAGATCAATAATCTCCATATAAGATTTTCTTTGCAACTTTTCCTTTATAAACTCTCTCGACTTAATGAGGAGAGACATAGGCAAAAAAGGAACAGATTTCAAGCTCTAGTTGATCCTTACACAAAGGAATTTATTACTAACTGAGCTAGCCAACATTACAAAATCATAACTCCAAAACACCTGTAATATCCAGAATGCATAACAGTTTACTCCAAAGATCAGAAGAGATAGATAAGAACGTAAAGTTGAAAACTTCACAATCCCTAATTGAAACTGTTCTTAATTGGCATAGAGATAATGCAAAAATGAATCAACAAACTCATTCATCATTCAAGACAAACAACATCAGCAATTATGAGTTCTAACTGGTATACTAAAAAAAGAACCATCATATTCAACTAATATGAATATCAATAAGTACAATCCAAAAGCCCCGCACCAATACTCAATAAATAATGAGAGTTACTTAATCAATATTCAATATAAGAAGAATGAAGAGAAAAAAAAAAGTAAAAACCTGGCTAAGAGCACAGTGGAAGACGAGGGTATCTTTGCCCTG